GGCTATGATTTCATTAGTAAAATTATGAGTAATTCCGGCCTAATTTTTTGATCATCGCTCTTAGCCAATCAAAATCGAGAATCTGCCGGTCCAAATTGTTGCAACAGCTATGGTTAATATTCAAATCCCTGCTTCGCCTCATTTTACACCCAATTAATTGCGGGCACACCACACACTTCGTGATATTTGCATATCACTCCGTTCCTGGTATACTACTTTGACTTCTTCGAAATTTATCTTTAATTAATTTTGAAGAAAGAATACATAAAATAGGAGCACTTAGTTTTAATACTACTGTAATTTACAAAAAAATAATTTAATTTTCTTTCGATTTATATATTTTAGATCCCATTAGTCGTTATGTCATTATATATATGTTAAATTATAATTCCAAAATGACATCTGTCGATTCAGAATAAACAAAACGATGTATCGATTTTTTTTTAATTTTTTATTCTACCATAGTTGTTAAGCATAGATATTAACATTTGTAATAAATCCTTTTAAATTTTCTAAAAATTCTACATAACTAAAAACTTTTATTTCAACAATTAAAACAAAAGAAGTTGTCTTGAAATTCAAATACTTTATAGCTTTTACATATTAGGGTTTTTAAAATTAACTCATTTATTGCACTTACGCAAAGAGTTTAAACTAATTAAATAAACGTATTTCAGAAATAAGTAGGAGCTTTAAAAATTGATTTTAGAATTACGAATGTCAAATAAAAAAAACGAAATAACTCACATTTAATGAAATAAGTTTTTGTTTAATTTTAATTGTAATTAACAGTTAACACTAAACGTGATTAAATATGTTGTAAGTCGATACGGAATAACTGTAGATTCGGAATCCACTTAAGTTGTATTCAAATCCCAAAAAAAGCAAGTAGTTATGAAATTTTGTGCGATAATTTTGTAATACAAAATTATGTACACTTAAAATAATCGTGTTAGGTGATTCAAAATTAACTTATTTCGAAAATAAATGGGAATTTAAAAAAAAAATCGCATTTCTGTTCATCGCCCAAAAACCAGTTACGTAGCAGCACTTAAATTAAAATTCTGACAAATTAATGTACAATAAATTAAATAGTACAAGATGAAATCCTTTACTGCAATTATGAAAATTCATATATCATGCAGGTTGACAAGGGTCAACAGATCGAAAAGAAAGGGAAAGATCTGGTCACGATTACACGCCACGTGCTACAACCACAACCCCGATCAATCAAGGGTCAGGAGGCATGGGGCACGGGTCAGGATCAAGAATTAATCAATTATGCGAAATTGCATGAATTATACGCCGCCAGAGATACGTAAGAGAAAAGCCACCGATCAGAATTAATCAGTATATAAAGAATTAACGATGAAGAATCGTATCCAACACATTCTCTCCCCTTCAACAAAATAGTCTCTGGCGACAAGATTTTTTCTCGAAATAAAATAAACAAACAAATAAATAATAATAAAATAATTATAATAAACGAATCAAAGTATTAAATAATAATAACAACTATTAGTAATAAATAGCAAACGTAAATACGATAAATCCAAACATAAACCATAGCAGTAAAATGACAATATTCGATTTTATCAGTCCCACCAACATACTTAACCATGAGTGACACAGAACCAACCATTCATGACCATGACATGGGACCACGTACAACAGACCTTCCAATGTCAGCTACACCAAAGGCCGGGGTCGACACACACCTAGACCCCTGGTAAAAGCGTACATCGATGAGTCAATTCGAGCGTCAGCTACATCGATCGTCCAATCCATTAATCAATACATCGATTCTCAATTTGAGTCTCACCTCAATAAGCTAAAGCAGTGGAACAAGCAATTTCAAGCCAACATTGCTAACGCACTATCTCAAATGGCTCGATCCAACACTGGGAGCAGCGCCGAAACACACAAGGACGTCTCGGTACCAGAAGGTTCTATGGCAGCATAACAGCAACCACAACAATCGACAGACACCAACCCATTAGTGGACAAAAGGAAGGAAACGGAGCAACCAACAGGTAAATACCCCAACCCCAGTACTGAACGACCTTATTATGAAAACATCTAGGGTTACCCTCCAGGGCCAGGACGTTGAACTAACTGCTGCGGCCGCACATCCCACCATGCCTCCCATGAACTTATACCTCATCAAAGTAGTATCACGAAAGTACCCATCTTTCGACTACGCAAAGTTCAGAAATATTTGCAAAGTGCAAGGGTTTTCTAATCCTTTCGCGGCAAGGACTGAAAGTATTCGGTTTTGGTGGGTTACTAACTGGACGGAGAGCCAGAAACTGATTGAGACCCTCCCTTACAAACCAAACATATCGTCCAAGTTATGGAAGGCAATTGCTTTCGGATCTTACGTGAACCTTCAGAATTTCACATACAAGAACTTACTCTCCAGTATCAGAGATTCAGAGGACGAGCCCACGCTTCAATCAGCTGAGGATGATGCGATCTCAATCAAGAGGCGGTCATGCCACGCTGCATTTGCAGACCTCTCTGAGTAGCTTCTTGCCTTTAAGGCATACATGAATGCAGTGTTGGTTATATACAGAAACAGGGAACACGAGTTTAACTCCTACCGGGACCATATTAATGAGCTGTGCCTTAAGCAAAGCTTTCACGCTGTAATGGCCTACGATAAAGACCGTCGGGTAACTTTGGTTACGAACCGAGACTCAACACTCATTGATCGTGAAATGGAGGTAGAAGGCAGGAGTTTCGATATCACTACAGTAAAAAGGCTTAAGCACAATACACACCGGGCTACACGTCTCGACGTCAAATGGTCGGATAGTAGAGAGATATGTATCAATTGAACAAGCGATATTGTGCGGACGAGAAGTCTTGCGGTAGGGTCCATGCTTGTTTGATTTGCAAGAAAACTGGCCATAACGAACAAAAATGTTTCAAAAAAGTCGGTCCAAGAAAAGGGAACCCCTCTGATACTGACAAGGGTGCAAAATAGTCACAGCAGTGACAAACTCATAGTCGATACTCGGGCAAGGACAATGACAGTAGTGATATATTTACTCATAAGGTAATGGGAGGTATAATGGCGCACCTAAGAACAACTGATAATAAAATTTTCCAAGAGAGAGTTTATCACTTACAAAATTTAT